TAACCAAAAAAGTCTGGCAGAAAGAGCAAGGGAGGGGAGAGGAGGCATAGAACAAAAGGGCACGAGCATTTGAGAGAGGAGCAATAATTCGACACACACTTTACAGGTTTCCAATCAATGCGGAAACAATATCCATGTCAGAGCGAAAGCCTCGTAAGAGAATGTGATGTGTGCAGTAAACAGGTAATAGCGCTTTGGATGCATGTAAAGGAGAAAATAGCAAGAAGGGTTATAGCCTCCAGCTTCCACGCTGGGCAAGGTATTTACGAAGACCAACGCTACGCGAGATGTGAATGGGAGACCAAAACGGCTCCTTGTCTCCATCAGCTGAGGCCCCACCACTACACAACCGGATGCAGGAGGGGAGCAGATCCGACCAAGTCTTCACGTGACACCCAGCAGCGTGCAGTCAAACCTGTTTTTATCTGCAGCTTCTCAGCATCCTTTGTGGGCAACTTTATGGTACACCAAACTCTCCAATTTCTCATGCTAGTTCAGCTCCAACAGTAATAGCACCAGTGAGCGCACTTCATTAGACAGGAATTGGGAGGGTGCTTAATATGGAGTCAAACAGATTTCTTCTAAGCGTGTTGAGGTCGTTCTTTTTCCTTCAGCTGTCCTTGATTTGACGGCTGATGGCACAGCAAACCATTGCTATCGTCACTGCACCTCATGGTGCTTTCGTAAGAGAAATAGCAGAATGGAGCTCCTATCTGTCTTGGTTTGAGTTTGAAGATCTTCTTCTCCGGCAACTGACTTCCCAAGGTTAAGTGAGCCCCATCAGCCTTAGAATTAGTTTTCTTCCGCTTGTTTGACAGCTGACCCACGGCACTTCCTTCTGCATTACCTGGAGCAATCCTATGGAAATGGGACTCGTACGATCTGCCTACTATCACCCGTGCTTTGCAGTGTCCCAGTGCAAGGTCAGTGAGCTCTTCAGGCCGCAGAAGTGTCAGTAGACCTCAGTGCCTTCTCTAGGCTGAGGTTCTTCCTGTTGCTGCTGCTGTTGGAGTCCCATCAGTTACATCTCTAAAAAGGATGTGTACAGACCCTGCGTGGGAGCAGCTATCAAACCCAGTCTCCTCACTCTTGCTCCTCTCCCGGCCTCAGAGCAGGAGACAAAGGGAGCAGGAAGCACTATTTATTACATCTTTTTGCCTTTTCTAAACACAATCAACCTTTTCTTGGCATTTCACCAAAGATAAATAGCCCGGTCCTGCTTCCATTAATATGGAAGGAAAAAAAAACCCTCGGCTTCTGCTGCTGCAACATGAAAGCTCCTCCCAGAACATCAGCACCGGAGGATGGTTTTCCTCCCATCTTCTTCCCTGTCCCGTCTCTGCAAGGGGCCTGGTTTTAAAGCACAGCTTCCCTTCTGGGAATTACCCTCCCTCCCCATCTACCAGAGCACCGTCTCTCTCTCGAACCCATTGCGCACCACCGCTTTGATTGCAAAGAAAGAAGGAAATACTGTGTCTAGCAACACAGCCCTAAAATATTTAGAGCTTTACGTGCTAAATCCAGAGTCATGCAGCAACCGGAGACCGGCGGAGAGGCTAAAGGAACAGATAATGCCTTCCAACTGGTATTGTCATCCCAATCGAGGCAGAAAACTGCGCTGCGCCGATTCCAGGGACAACATTACCATTGGGGTGTGCCTTGCTGCAGAAGCAGTGGAGAGCAGCCTATACTGTGGCTTCCCTCCCTGTGCTCGGTCTATGGGTAAATAGCGGGCTTCAGTTTCAAGGGCTATTAATCTGGCATCTTTCATCAACTCCAAAATGAAGCTAAACCAAAAAAGCAGGAGAGAGCGGGGATTCTTTCCCTTTCGAAATTTGTAAGCGTGTGTGTTTAGTGCTCATGAAAATGTCAAATCCAAAGCAGAGGGAACTAGTACATCATCTGTCAAAACTGCAGCTGGGTTTAGCAGCTCAGCATGACATTATAACAGCACAACATGGGGGGGGAAAAAAAAAGAAAAAAACCTCAAGAAGTGTACAGCCCAGCACAAAAATGAGAAGATGAAGGCCCGCCTGCCATATCAGAGGTCATTAGGAATAAAACTGACACATAAAACTGAAAGTAAAACGCTTAGTAAGTTTGTAGAACAGGCCATACTGTCTTAAAGGCTATTTCTGTCATTGCCTTAGGCTACAAAAACCTCCTGCAAGAGGACACGGAAGAGTGCACACGTTTCGCTCTCTCTCTGGAGTCGGTTGCTTCCCTTCCGCTTCTTCTGAATAACCACAACTAATAGCACCCTGGTTTCCCCCCGCTGATCTCCAAGAGCTTCCCCAGAGCTCTTTGGGGAAGGGTGTCCAACAGTGACTCAAGGCCACCCAGCAAGGTGGGGGGG